TATATATATAATTACAATGTATTAGGTATTTCACAATGTATTTCATATAACATACATTTATTAATTACTCACCCTCTATTGTTATATTCACTTTCCATTAAAACAAAAGTTTCGACGTTATCAGCCATAACACGGACAAATTTGCTGTCCATTAAAGAAAAAGTTCTGAAGCCTCCATTATCAGCTATAACACCAGTAAATTTCATATTTAAGGTGTAACGCCCCGATGCTATCTCATTCTTGAAGGAAAACTCGGCAATCTGCGTCTTACTATCACGTAAATATTTTATCGGTTTATAAATGACCATTTTTGTGTCATCAGATTGCTGAAATCTTGGTGGATTATCAATTAATTCTATATTCTGTATACATTGTGCATCTGAATGTAAATTTATAGTATGCGTTGGTTGAAGAATATTAATGCTGACGTTGCATTCGCCATAGAAAGTATCTTGATCATATGGTATAACATATGGTATAAGCTTGATGTTGTAATGCTCTGGTTTTATATAATCCAGTAATGTAAATGACTGTTTGTTGGTCAAAGGAGCCGCCGCGGCAAAGAATAAACCGCTACTTAATAATAATTTTAAAAATATCATATTTCTCTCTCTCTCAATATTTGCCTGAGATGTCTGCAAAAAATTTTTTTTTTCTTTTTTGAAGAAAAAAGAGACAAAAAAGTTAAAGATAACTTAGTATATCATGCTCTATAATAATAACAATAATAATAATAAATATCCATAAATAAATAAAACGGGCAAATGAGAGCCACTGGATGAGGGGTGCCAAAATTATATTATTCTTCGTAATTGCATTTATTAGACGTTGTGATCTCAATATTGGACCATCTTTAGTAACTAAATACAAAATTACAAAATAAATAAAAAAAGAGAAATTAAATGTTGCGCAATACTCTCTCTATATCGTTTTATTATTATATATAAAAATAAAGAAATAAATACAAGAGAAAAAAATATTAAATCCACATTTATTAAAAGAATATTTATCATTCACACATATTTAAAAAAAGTTGATAAACTTTTGTCATATATTTTACTATATAATATGCTATAAAATTCATGTTATTTTAGTTAAATTTAATAATATTTAAAATATATTGTTCATTTTCGAGCTTAAAATGTACTGATCTAAAAATGATTTTACTCTAGATATTCTTTAAACTTACGGATATTATTAACAACTTTTGAGACAGAAAATTTTAAACAGAAAAATTAACAATGTAAAATTAATATTTCATGATATGTTATAATAATAGCTCTATGTGATATTAAAATAAATTAAATAACATAGATTGTTATAATAAAAAATAATGTAATAATTATTTATAACATAATTTGTATGTAACAATTATCTGTTCTATCTTTATCTTACGCTCATAATTCTTGAAATAATTACAGGACAGTAAAATACAGTAATCAAATTTATTTTTGAACATGCGAAAATGTAGAAAATATAATGTAAATGCTGTCACTGATAGCTTAAGATTGAAAACTTATAATTTCTAATATAAAAAATACAATAAATTATAGTATATTCAGAAACAATGTGATTGAATTTTTTAAAAAAACATATAAAAAATAACAAAGATATAAACTATATAAGTAATTACTGTATAAATGTAATTATACACGCACACAAATATACGCGCGCGTATTTTTTATATTTCAAATAATAAGTTTTATATACCTTAAGCTACAAAAAAAATGTATTACATACAAAACTAATATGCTAAAATATTTCTTTTGAATATAAAAATCAAAATATGTATTTAATATAATTTAAATAATTTTTTAAACAACAAAAGTATATTTTTTATTTTGTTTCTTTAAATCTACCATATTTATTAATGTTTTTTTAACTGAACTGCATACGATGATATCTCGTATATTATAGCTAGTAATAAGACAATTTAAACTAGGATATATCATAAAACACTCTATTTTTTGTCTAAATTTAAATACTTACATAAGTTAAGAAATTTATAAGATATAAAGTTTCTTTTTTCTGGAGTAATTAAATTTGATAAATAGATTATTATAATTGGAATTATATATTATCATATTTGTACAAATCATAACACATACACATATTGCTTATTAACATGCTACTTGAAAGAGCTTGCAATATATCCAATTGTGTACTTACAGTTACTTGATTGCAAATCTTTGTAATTAAAATATTTTATTACATTCTTCAATTAATAGTTATTAATTAATTAAATTTTTTTTCTTACGATATATTCAACCTTTCTTGCCGAGATAATATTTTTGAATATGTTCTCATTAACACGCGACTGGAGTTTTGAAATACTTAATTTTATAAATAAAAACTAAATAGAGATTATTAATTACATTAAATTTTATTTTAAAAAAGTAATATATGTAATATTTCAGTTTTTAAAGAAAAACTGCATTGAATCCGTAGCAAATGCCAGTTCGATATATTGTTAACGCGTTTTGGAAGTCACATTTTGTATACTTTATTTTATGTATGTTTTGCCCTATATTACTCTGTGAGTGTGTCCTATATTTCTTATGTGACCGATGCTTCTATTTATTTATTATGTATTGTATTTATCCATTCGGTCGTTACTTATTTGACAAAATTGAATTCATATTTACAAAACTTTTTAAATATATTGTCTTAAATAAATCAGATCGAGAGAATAAAAAATCGAAAACAGTTACCGCTTGAATCTGATAGATATACATCATTTTTAACAATATGGTTTATATCCCCTCGTGTTGTTACTATACAATTCTTTACTTTATTCTAAAGATCGCATATATCATAGATTTCTATTACAAAATGTGTAGAACATAATTTCACACGTCGAATAATTAATGAACGATAAAGAAATATTCAAGATTATTAAAATATTATGATACACATTTGATTCGTGTTTGTACTTAGGAGCAATTTAAATGCGTTTTATATTTTTGTGCTCGCATTTTTTGTATATTTAAAGCAGACATATACATGTGTATTTTATGCAACTCACTTTGTATATTGAGATTGTATCCCACAAGTTGTATTATACAACTATATGATCCTTTATAAAAATTAGCTACAGCCAATTTCTCTATCTTCTATTGTCTCGCTATCCGTGTGATATTGGAAGTATATATCAACACAATCACGATCTTATCATTTCGAAAGAACACCAATAACTAATACCGCTCGGTACATAACATTATAATAAATATGTGATGTTATGTCAACAACTTGTAAGGTTCTTAATCATGAAGGATAATCAAAATACATCTTATTAACTTTTAAACGCTATCAGGCATTAGCACATAATAATCATTACGCGTTATTTGAAAATTCAAAGTAATTTAATCTAAAAAAAAAGAAAATATAGAAAATAATTATTTGATATTTTTATTGTTTGTTCTCATATTAAAAATCTTTTTTGTATATACTTATATGTATGTATGTGTAAGAATATAATCTCTATTTTTTTAATACACATAGTTCTATTTTTTTTTTTAATTTGTTTAATTTCTAAATGTATATTATATATGTAGAATTAATTATTAATAATTTTTTTAATGCATCTTTCTTTGCAGCAATTTCTTTATGATTAGTATCAATGATATATGTATGCGTACGCATGCATTCTTTTCATGTATGTGCATTTGAATAACTAATAATTCAACTCGATAATTAACAAAATATGTGTTTCAATTGTTATTTAATATTGTTTGGAAAAAGTGATATTTATCTTTAAACAAATATAAATTAATATTAAATTTATTTCAAAAATGCTAATAAAACGTAAAATATTTTATGCCACATGAATTGTATATAGGTATCTTTATTGTATTTTTGTTATATATCTTTAATACACTTAGGATAAACTTTTCAATAACTGTTGCAAATATCTCAAAAAATGCATTGTATTAAAAAATTGTTTTGTAGACAAAAATTAAAGAATTTTAAGCGATACATAATATAATAATGTTTATTTGACCAAGAATGGTCAAAGATCAATGAACAAAGAAATATTGCTATGATGTATATTTTACTGCATCTGCTTTTCTATAAATATGATAATTTTAGAAAGTATTTAGAAAAGGATAAAAAATAATAATATGATATAACTTCTTTATTATAATATTATAATCTTATAATTTTTATTATTAAATAAAGAAAGCCAATGTATTACAAATTTAAGTATCTAATAACATTTTGAATACT